CAGTCTCTGACTTTTAAAATTGTATGTACCTGCTTCTTGTAAAAATGGATATTTTATATACTGGAAGTACAACCTATCAAAGCTTGTCCATCCAAATGCAGTATGTCAAGTAAGATTGGAAGACATTTTAACATTCAATCAAACACCTCAAGAATTTATATTCTAATATTTTAAAATAAAAAAGACTGATGGTTTCATTGCAATCTTAGCTGGTATAAAAGTATGAACCGATTGTTTCAACAATAAATCCATTAAATTATGGGCTAAAACATTCATGAACAACAAATTGTTGTACTGTATTTCATGATCTTCAAAACAGCTTTCTTTAAGTTTTATGTGGATAACATTTCAGAAATAGGGTTTATATAATTTCTATAATTGCATCATTTTCATATGCAGTATGTTTCAAGTGACAATTTGTTGCGTAACTGAAGCCAACATAAAATTTTGGATTCACCGAGACTTCATAGTTCGTGTTATAAATATGAAGCATTCTACAGACATACATTGTAAATTCAAAACGTTTTATTTCAACATTCTTAGCTCGGAGCAAAAAATGCAGTTGGAAAATGATCATAGCATTTGGCATAGAAAGAGTTGCTTTTGTGACAGACGATTAACACAGCTCTATCACATTACTGCTTGAATTATTTCGATTCTAACTGGTTTCCTAGTGCATCTACATGCTGATGTCAAATTAATACAGTGCATGACTGCCACTGGGCCAAAGACTTGTAAGGCTGATGGTAATAAAATTAGTAGTTTGAAATTATCTACTGCGAAACAGAAATAACTGCACTGGCACATCACTCATAACAGAGACAATTGATTAGAAATGCATTTCTTTCCATAAATTATAAGAATCTTTAACTGACAGCTGAATTTGTGTAAAAGTTTCTATAGTAACATGTTTATACTGATACCTGCAAGGAATTTTTTTGTCTCATAATATTCTGCAGATTAAAACATTTGTTAACAATCTGTCTCTTGCTGAGATATTCTGTTACTGTATTTTCATTCTGCATTAAACATTTACCATACAATTACAAATAACTTCTGTGGATTTTAACTCCATCCACATTTTTATCCTATTTAGATAGCCTGTTCTATGAAACCACCACGTCTACTAATTACTGAATGGTACTTTCACTGGCCTCTAGATGTCATCTGCAGCCCACACAATTTACTAAAGCAAATAGTATCACAATATCACCCAAAAATCACAGCATCGACCCACATTTTAATGTTAAGTTTGCTTACGATGACAAGAGATTAGAGCAGAGGTTCGTAACCTGTGAGCCACTAATGTGTTTCGTGTGGTCATGCAGTACCTTATTGTAATTCTTATTGTATCACTCTGTAAAACCAAAAATTATATTTTCCACCTAATTGAAATATTTAATATTAGGTAAATATTAAATATAACAAATTAACAAATCTGCTTAAAAATTATGTAAACCTGCTTGTCACCAGATTCAAATAAATTACCTTGATTTATAACCAGGTGATCCACAAGTCCATAAACAACACTGAATATTTTTCCAGATTTCAAAAAAGGTGAGAACCCCTACACTGAAATATAAACTAACATATAAATGGATTAACAGAAATGTTTCTGAAACCTTCACTGAGTTACTGTAAAAATTCACATTTTTTAAAATTAAATAATTCTACTCCTGGGAGTGTTAATTTGTAATCAATTTTGTTACAATATTCATAATTCAATTTTGTAATGTTTTGAAAACAATCTGGTTCAGATGTACTGTCATATTTGTTTATTGGCTTGATCTTGGGATATTACTGAAGTATAAAATAATCATCTTCATTCAATTATACAGCTTCATATTATGTTGACTATAAAATGCAAACCAAAGTGTGTGAAAAGAAAAAAGTTACCAGTGAGAGCATAAAATTACTTTGTAAATTAAATTAAATCACTGCATTACTCGAATATGCTGACTCTCGGGAATAACATGTAATAAAATATATGTCACGTTACTTATAACAGCCTATAATATTATATCTAAGTCTAAATAAAACCATAGTATTACTTATGGGTTTATGGCAATAACTATTTGTAGGGCACAGCAGATGTTTATTCTGAATAAATGTCTTTTATTTTATGCTAATCTAAGAAATAATTCAAATAATTCACAATTTAATTTTTTTAAACACTCACAACTTACACTTTCAGATTACTTCAGGGTGGTATAATTTTATCTCCGACTGTTCAAACAGGTTTACACAAAAAACATCAAATATTTTTAAAAAGTTTACAATAAGGAAGAATAAATATGTGTGTGTGTGTCATTATTTTGTATTAATTTTAGACTTAGGGACCTTGCATGCTATACAGAAAATAAAGTCACTTGGAGAAATCCTCCAACTAGGAAAACAACCTCCTCCTTTCACTGTTTATATACTCTTTAAACCACTTAAAGATCAAGGTTTCTTCTTCTTTTAACAAATAAACAAAGAAGGATAATTTATATTAATAATGAGAGGAAAGAGATTCCTTGCTGGAAAATATTCCATCATATGCAATAAATAAATATGAAGCTTTTATGCATGAAGACAAATTATGTCAATAATTTGTTTAATTATTTGAACAGATGTAAAGCAAGTATATTAAAAATAATAATCCATATGAAAATCAGAGTTGGTCCTATAATATAACTGAATTATTTGAACTATTACAATGCAAATATATATTATGGTTTCGTGTTAAAATAGAGACATTAGTAGAATTATATTTTACACAAAACTTAACAAACAAGCTTAGGAACGACAAATCAGGAACCTTTCTTAGATGTTGCTAAGTTTAAGTGCTACTGCAGAAAGAAGCCACCAAGGTATTAACAACTAAATACACAAATATTTATCTCAGAAGTAGTATGAATACTTTTGAAACCTTAATACAGTTTATTTATGACACTGCTGAATGTGTGCAGTAGTTTAAGTATAATCCTAGATATGTATCAGCTGTTATAATTGTAACCTTCATTCTGCTTTTATTGGATGGAGAATTAATGTGCATTGGAACAGATGGACTCCAGTTTAGATTACGATAAAAAATAATCCATACAGTGTGCTTGAGATAACAGTGGAACAGACTCAGTCTTGGATCATTGTTTTTCTTTATTTGTGGGCATCTGTTCACTTTTAGAATAGGCATATATTATAGCACTTGGATGCTGTGGGTGCAATTAAAAAAGAGAGAGAAGGAAATATGCACGTTGAGACATTTGTTCTTTCTTCCTATAAAATACATAAAACAGGTATCTGCTTGCTTGCAGTATGTATGACAAACATGAAAGAATCATCACAACATTGAAACTTGATAATATGGAATTGTTTTCATTACCAAACTGTCAACATTTGCTAGAAGTGTACATTTAAATTGATTCCTGCATGAGAAGAATGATGTAATAAATATTGGAAGTGCTACAAAATACGGAAACACAAGTTACACTTTCCTAAAGAGGACTGACTATCGTGGAAGGTGACTTGAACCATATTACAATAAAAAAATTAGTCAAACATTAAGATCAGAATTGTTTTCAAAACATAGTAATTTTGTGATATAAAATCAGATGAAGGGCAATGGTAAGTAGGGAGCTTAAATGTAATGTGCGCTCATAAACCACATGACTATGCAACGAAAATAGAGAAGAAATGGTTTATTATACATGTGAACATATGTGTGTGTGTTTATGGGGCTAACCATGCCTAAAATTTTAAAATACTATGTCTCTAATCAATGGGGAAGAGTTGATGCATATTACTGTCACAAGTATCACCATAAAAAGTGTCACTATATTATATTATCTCTGAAAGCACAAACACTGTATTTCAGCAACATTTGTGCTGACTATTCTTGACCATGACCTCACTGACCCACTCAGTGCTGGAAGATAAGGACAAAGACGACTTGGTGCTGTTGACATGTTGAATTTGTAGGTATGATTCATGTCACGTTTAATTAACTAACCTACTATTTATATTAGTCAAATGCAATCCAGGATTACATTCACACAGAACCTGTAAAGCAATAAAAATCATCATCCTCCATCGATGGACTTGAGAAAATTACATAATGGTATTAGGCAACTGTCAACAACAAAATGATCATCCTGTCACCAAAAAATTCTGTCACAAATCCTAGTAAGTAGGCTACCATCCCACAACAGATTCTTGTTTCAATATTTATGCTTAAACTTGTATCAACAGAGATCAATGAATGAACATATGACATGCTAATTTCACTCATGAACCCATCATTTTGAAGCCTATGCTGGATGGAGGAGTGCATATTTTCATGTTCCAATTTTGCTTTGTCTGTTAAAACAGACTGATGGCATGTAAGTGTAGCGTAACACAAATATTGTTGTCTTCTCACAATAAATGTGTATTGGGAGACAAAGATTTGTACAACAAAAAAACCTTGTTACAAAAAAATAAAAAATAAATAAATGTTATCTGTCCTGTGAAGTCACTTAAAATTAGAAAATTAAAAGAACATACAACAACAACAACAACAACAGACAAATTCATTTACAAGTCATTGGTTTTGCATCATGAAATTTACTCACTAATAACTAAGCAACAGCCATGGTTACTTTTGTCTCTTTAAGTATTCCCATGGTTCCCTGATCAAAAATGTTGTGCCTTCTCAGGCGATTCAAAGACTGTGGAAAACTTTCTTCAGTCCAGATGACGGATAACATTAAAAACCGTCTGATTATGGAAGTTCCTTGTTTTTTTCAGGGAGTTTCAACAAGAACAATTTGAGTCAATCCAGTTAACAGAGGAACGGATTCTGTTCCTGTATTCTGACGCCCTGCTGCCTTAAATGTACTCTTATCACAATATGATCACTTCTTGTTGACCACGGAATGATGGGATCTCTGAACTTGTGTATCTGCATGTCAAAGCCTTGGTGTTTAACATTTATCTGAAGGCCCAATGCGAGATAATTAGGGAACAGTTTTATGCCCATGTTACAATGTGGAGATGCGGACCTCTGGATGCTGATCAGGTGATGTGGCAGGTGAAGCCCCGGGAGAAATGGGAGAAGCTGGCTCCACCTCAGATCCAGGATAAGATGCTGGAAGGTTGACTACCACAGATGCTGTCATAGTGGAAGAAGTGGTGGAGTTGGGTTTGCTAATGGAGGCTAGCGAAGCATCAAAAAAAAAACCCCCAGCCGAGTTGGTCTGATTGAGACTGGCTCGTGAGAGACGGTCTGGCGTGGGTTCACTGGGAGGCGAGCGATTAGACTGCATCCGAATCTGAATATCATTGAGTTCTTCCTCATGGACAGCAGACTCCAGGGTTGCTCCTGGGTGCTTCTGGGGAGCAGACACACTGTATGAACAGCAAGGGCACCATAGGCCAGGGGACAGAGAAACAAGAAGCAGAGTCATATTCTAACATTGTGTCTTCTGAATTGAAATATGTACAATAGCACAGAATACTAATACTGGATCTTTGGTTCAAATAACTAAAACTGAAGTGGAGAAGACACTACCATCACCTGCCTGTGGCAACCGCTCTATTACCTATCAAATCATCTTATTTGTCTTTGTGAACTCATTTTATATCATGTCATGATTTCACCTATTTGACATTCCTGAACTGCCTAACTCTTCTGAAATGCCACTCATTTTTCTCATATCAAGTATCAAACTATTACAACATACACTTTTTTTCTGTTTCAGACAGAGAGAAGCCACTGTTTCTACTTTGATTGAGATTTTTAAAGACTCAAAACTGTACATCATAAAGGAAATTAAAAGTGGACTTATTTTTTGTTAGAGTCACTCTGTAGGCCATTCTGAGTGGTGAAGAAAAGTCAAAATCCTGCTTGGGGAAAGGATGTGTGTTTATAAGTCACTCTGTGCAGGTAAATGCTCTGTGATCAGAAGATAACCCTATGAAAGGTTAGGTTTACCAAGTACCGAACAGAAGCCTTTAAATTGTCAACAAAAATAAATAGTAGAAGATCAAGTAGGAAGCAGGAAGATAAGTCACTGTGTGTAACAAATGAGGAAGGCCATTAAAAATATTATCTATAAATAAAAATAAACTTCAACATTACCTGTTTTTGCCTAAATTATGACAATAATGATCTTGTAATAGCAGCTATTAACATTATTGCATGGAAAGGAAAACTTGTATAATTATTGTGAGGCATTTAGTTTCACCATCTTTGCTGGAAATTACTGTGCGTGTGCATGTACGTAAATAACATGATTTTCTTCAGACTTCCAATCTATGAGTGTGCAGTGCAAGTCTGAATTGTTCCAAACGTTTACAACTGAACTGAACGAAATGTTTACAGCCCAACAAAAAAACATCCAATAATCAAATTCCAGAGAAAGCAAGACAGCACTCCTGTATGTAAGAAACTGTCCAAGAGTTAAATAAACATGATATATAAGTAGAAACTATGATGTACTAGGGCCTAAAAGTACATAAGAGGCAATGTAAACAAAGTTGAGCAAGTGAAATGCTGAAACAGTTTCCTAACTTTGTCCTTCATCCAATGTAATTTCATATTACAATTTTTTGTTTTTGAAAGAATAAAATACCAATTGCAGTACTCTTTGTTGTGATAAAAGTTTGGAGAGTCATACTGGTAAGTATTTATTACGTGATATTAAATGCCCCAGTAACACAAATGACTTAAGGTGGGTGCATATTTATTAGAAAAGCACATTGGCTACAATCACAGATTATCTATGTAGCAAACATTCATTCATTTGTTGTGTGACTCACAACAGTAATTTCTCTCGAGTCACTTTTAATAAGAAAGAGGTTGTTCATGAATGCTGAGAACAACTGAAAATGTATTGTAAAACAGGCAGACAACATTCACAATGGTAACAGCATATGTTTTCAGGACAGACAACATCTCTACCATGTATTTCAAAAGGAGTGGAAAATTTGTTTTAACCACCTATAATCTTAACTGTGATGTGGTATACAAGCAACAAATAAAATTAGTTTCTTATCTACATTTTATTACCTTCTTATAAATTCTCCATTCTGGAAGTGATAAAGAACTAACTGTTTGTGTGTGAGGTTCTCATGCCAGTGAAGATATTAATGTTGGCCTTCTCAGTTGTAACAACACGTGGATTCGTAGGCAGATATTATTTCAAAGAAACATAACCACATTTTTAGCCCTGAAATTCTGCAGGTCCACCCTATAAGACGCATACATGCCAGATGAAGGCAGTGGATATGAATCATTACATCAATTAATCAACCTGTTCCTTTTCCCCACAAATCTGTTCTCACTGTCACTAACATTACTGCCATGTGAGACTTTAACTTCTCTGTTGCCATGTAGTTTGCAAGAATCAATCAAATCCAGCTTTCAGCAAAGTCCTTAATGAGATAAAAACCACAACATACATAAAGAAGTATATACTGTATCCAGTTTATGTGGTTCATGTAGTTTTAATTCTTTTTTTAAATATGGATATACAAATATGAAGATGATTAACTGTAAGTTGAAACATGTAAAAGTAAAAAGTAAAGCTGTCCCGCTATGCGCCATGTAGGCGCTTGGGGGGGAGTGGAGGTATAGCTCCTACTCATTCTTGACCTCGGCACTAGATGGGGGTAAGTGGTCAGCATCATGCCCCAGCCCTGCTTTACCCCCGGGAAAGGACCCCGGTACCCATTGTAGAGGAGGCTGGGTGGGCCCCAGAGCCGGTCTGGATGCAGAGGCTAGAGGAAAAGTATGTTAAGACCTTGTTTTTTTAATAATGTTACTATTGAAATTAAAATTATACTTGTCTTTTGGATTTGTTTAACCATTCTGTACAATATTGAACTATGCATGCTGGTACACTTTCTGGTGAAATGTGGTCTGGAAAAATGACAGTCTTATCCACAGGCGATTCATAACTGTTGCTCCACGGTACATATGGGTATCTTTTCAAACAAATGGCTCCTCTCATTTAAAATATATGTATCTGTTTTTCCAGTTAAAAATAAGTTTTCCAGCAAACACCATTCTCCTACCAAAAAAAGTAACTGATGTCCAAAGTAGCACAGACCGCTTCACTTGAATTGTGCAACACTACTGTAATGTGCACAAAAAGGAAGCGGTCACTGAGAACCAACAAACAGAGAGAATCAAACTACAAGGGTTTTTACTGCAGGCATTTCCTGTTCCTTACTTTCTAGGCATCTATTTCTTACTGCAGGTACTAAATACCCACATGCTTAATGTCAGAAAGATAGTACGTGAAAAAATTGAAGAAAGATTGAAAGAGAAAGTAAGAAGATGAGATGTAAGAGACAGTGAAAGAAGGAGAAGTATGAATATTTGTGTTTTATAATTTGGCCCAAAGTGTTTGGCTCAGCGAAACTACACTCAGGTCCATGCTTAGGGCAACTGGCAGGTACATGTCACCCAGCTGACAGGACCTAATCCTTCAGAAGCTGCATCCAAACACAGTAAACACACATGCAGTAGAAAGCGTCCTCAGAGTCTGCCATGCACCTCAAATTAAACAGAACTGGGTTTATGTGTCACATAAAACTGGGTTCTGTAAGAAATGAGTTCAAAATTGCAAAAAATATAAAAGTGTTCACAAAATTACCTTGGTTCGAACTTCAATCTTGTCGCTATAGACAAGGACCACGCGGTCCTTGCCTGGACTCGTTGCCAGGAAGGGGATGCTCTTCGTGGCGACGTCATGCACAGGAGTGGGCGGGCGGGCAGGCCATGCAGTGGCGGGCATGCGGGCAGGCGATCAGTGGC